ACTAGAGTTTCAATCCTGGTGAGATATTGCTGCATCATTTGATATTTCATAGAGATGGTGTGTAATTCATTTTTCATTTGAATTACACCTGACCTATTTGATGCTTAAGGTGATGTTCTAAAGTTTTCCATATGTCAGAGCAACTATCCAGGTGGAGGACATAAGGATGGCCACCAAGATGGTGGAGCATATGGCTGCGGCTAAGTTTTAGTCAATTAGAAGCCATTGGTTGTTGTTTGGATTAGGGACGATTTTGTTGTTGGATTGACGAATAAGGAGAGGAGGTATAAGAGTACTACTGTCCAGATGACCGGCGAAGCCATTTGCTCTAAGGAGCTTGAGAAATTGTGATTTCCATAGGGGGTAGCTTTCAGTGGAGAGGGTAATAGGTACTATTATTTTGATGTTGGAGAGGACAAGTTTTAGTGAAGATGCGATCTGTGGTGGTTCTCCTTGCCCTTATATGTTGTGCTCTGCAACTTGAGATCCAGATGAGTTTGCTATTTGGACCAGGAGTCATTAGTTGCTGGCAGGAGCTCCTATTATGATACCATGAAGACCTCTGAATCCCGTGAGCTCAACCTGCAGACGCTGTGAGATTGACCTGCATAAGCTAAGAGAAGAACATAGAATGCATTGAAGAAAGTACATGACATAACTTTTTGTATTGGTGTCATTATCACTCTTACATCCTTTGTGTAATATCTGTTATATAAAGAGATGTGTTGGGTACAACTTTACATGTGTAGGCTCAGGATTTATTTGATTTGTTATGAGTGAGCAGTTGGATGTTTGCTAAGCCGTTAATTTCAGAGGCAGTGGAATTAGCTACTATTAGTGACATCACTATTTGAGCTTTTCTACCTATTTTAGAAATATCATAATGGTGGATGTATTTCCTCTATATGTTGTATTAAACCCTTAGTTCGATTTTCTTGGTGGTATTCATGATCATCAAAAGATTAGGGCTCATAGAGTCAATAAAATATATATCATTTTCTAAGGGAAATGAAAAATATTAATGTTTATTTAAATAAAATTTGAGTGCTTTGCTCAAGGAAGGGGCTTGGTAGCTAAATTCTAAATTGAAGTATTTCTTGGTAGCTAACTCCTACATGCTACTTTGTTGAGAAGCTTTGTTTTGTTGCATACCCCCATCTATATCTTATTGTAGATTCATGCTACTTCTCCACTTAGATTATTTAGCAATTACCTACTTCACCACACCCTAAAATCACACCAAAACCTTACTAAAACCTCTTCATCAATGGTGGATTCCATGTGAACCTAGTCTTGATTTACACTCTTGTACAAAGTAATAAAATCTCTTTGAATTTCATTATCAACTCTAGAATCACTATGTACACACTCCTATACCATGTATTAGGGTATGTAGCCACTATTTATTCATACAACCCATCACTTTTAAATACTAGAACCAAACTACGATTTGTCATGTTTTGGCTTATTCCAAGCCCTTGACTAACCCTTAATTCCACCACTTCATAACTTTACTTTGACCTTCCATCCATTACTATTCCAAGAGTTTCTAAATAGAAGTAAACATGTTCTAATACAAGTGGAGGCATTGGAAGAACTCCAATCAAAAGCTACATCAAAATTGGTATCATAGCAAATCATGAGTCTACATCAAAATTGGTATCATTACCTATTGATTGAACCACTTACAAAAGGGAACTTTCTTCATTTGGTACATTGGTAATTTCCATTTCCTATGTATTTTTATTTACAATATTATACATTTCTTGTTAGATAGTATTTTTTCTATGTCTAAGGGCAGTTTTATTAAATCACGACTTTTATATAATAGATGTCTTTATAAACATTGCCTTGCATTTTAACTTAACTTATTGTTAGAAATGACTTGAATGACATTAATTTTAGTGATTTTTTTCAATTATAATAAATAATTTAGTATCTTTTATCTCTAAAATTTATAATAAATGTAGGATTCTAAATCATTCCATGAGCATCAATTAGTTAAACTTCTCATAATTCAAACTACTTTGTGAACTAGTTTAATTTTACTTCTTATAATTTTTTGTAGGACAAATTTTACATGCTTTAATATCATGACATTTTATGTCATTAATTACATCATATAACAACATGTACTCATTAGAAAACTTACATTTTAATTTAAATACTTTCTCACATTGCTTGTACGAAATACACTCACAAATTATCATAACCCCAAAATCAACAATTATACAGCAATTTGAGCGATTAACCAAGATGGTAGAAGATCTAAAATTTAGGGAAAATGATCATGATGATAGGGTAGATAAAGTGTGAAATTCATTAGATGAAATTAATAATAAAATGCAAACCCTACTTGAAACCATGATGATTCAAATCCAATAGTTACACTTAAGGATGCAAACTTGGCCCTACCCAACCCATCCTTTCTAGAAATAATTATGTTGGAGAGAAAAACAATGTTAGATCTAACTATAGAATAAAATAATTTTAGAAGGGAAGGTTAGTAAGGAAATGGGAATGAGTTTAGTGATCTGATTAAGAAAGTCAAAGTTAAAGCTCCCACATTTGATGGGGTTTATGACCCCAAAAATTCCTCAACTAGCTTAAAAAAATGAATGATTTTTTAATAGTATCAGATGGATGATTACAAAAAATAACTTTTACTGAAATGAAACTTCTCGTCATGCAAAAATATATGAGTAAAATATTTTAATAAAGGAAGAAAGGCTAGAAAAGGTTGTCCTCATATAGGTAGAAATGAAGGAGATGCTATGATCAAAATATTATCCTAGACATCCTAATAAAAAGCTCATGGACATTTAATGAAAATTAGGCAAGAGAATATGTGAGTGATATAATACTCTAACTCTTTTGAAGACTTAGTGGCTAGGACACAATGTTATGATAATAATAGGCCACTTAGCAACAATTTTATCATAGGTCTTAAGATGAAATTAAAAAAAGGTAAAACTTTACGATCCTCAAACCATTAGAGGATGCATTTTATTATGTTCTCCTCATTTAAAAAAAAAAAAAGTATATACCATCTTTATATTTAAAATATAGTAGACCCATTATTTTATTTGAAGGACTAGTATTATGTCTAAACTCCACTAGTTAGGGAAAATAATAAAACTACTACTGAATTCATTAATAGGAATAATGAGGATATTATTTATTTTAAATGTCATAAGAAATGGCATATGTAACATCAATGTAAACGCTTATATCTCATTTTTTAAAGGAGGCAGATGATTAGGAGGAAAAAAATGTATATTGAATTTTAAAATTAAAATTTAGTGTTTAATTTATTCATTTTATTAGAAATATAGGGCTTACATTTCATCAAGACAATATTGAGAAAAGGCCCAAAAAAGGGCTTTTTGTCATGCCCTAGAACCTAATGGAAGAATTAAGCCTTGAACCTAATTGTCTCAACCATAATATGAAACATACTAGAGACAACTAAATAATCCAAAACAATTAAATAACATAAAGGAACATCTAAATTTCAGTTCCAAAAGAATAATCTACAAATAATGAAATCCAAATTTGTTCTATACATCAAAATATAATAACTGGATTACAAAATATCTTAATGTAGAAGCACTTGATTGTCCTACCCTTATCAAACTCTACTCCACTAGACCCTTGTCTTTTCTTTAACTTTAATAAAGAAACAGTGCAAGAAATCAAATGCTTAATAGGCTATCCTAATTCCTACCATAAATGATCATGCCCAGATTTATAATGTATAAATAACAAAAAGTTTTAATTTTAATTCTAAATTAATAGAAAATGTCTTTGTTCTTTATAAAAGAAAAGTAGAGGGATTACTTATACGAGTAACATGCATCAAGATTAACATTTCTAGAACTTGTTACTTAAACTCAAACCCTGTATACATTAACATGTACTTTCATTTATACTTTTACATGGGCGTCAAAGTGTACTTATTCATATAACATCAATTATACTTTCATTGAAGTGTAAGAGGGTAATTATCAATAGAATATTCTTTGCTTTTATACTTAATTAATTTAACAAAATATGTAGAATATGAATCATGATAAGCATTTCTTGATGTCTACTTATAACTTTACTTCCACTTATGCAACCCAAAATTAACCCTCATTTTCACTGGTGTAGAAGGCCATACTTTGGTTCTAAAAAGTCTTCTTCTCCTCTAAATAAAATCAAAAGATTTTACTAGCAACTCCACCCAATGTGGCCATGGCATTCATTCTAGTGTGCCTTGAATCTTCTTTTATCTTTTCAAATTATGAAAGTTTTGTTTTAGTTACAAGTACCTATTTGTTCTCTATGTTCACCTATTCTTCTCTACTTTTTTGTTGTAGTTTCTATTCACAAAGTACTCCTCTCCTAATTTATGGCATGCTCCACACTCATTGCACCTTTGATGATGTTGAATTTAAAATTATAAGCAAATTATATGAAGAGTGCTGAGCAAAAAGAAAGTTGAGAAATTAAGAGAAAAGGATACAATTCTAGATTGAGAAGCACTTGATTCTATGAAATAACATATATATATATATATATATATATATATATAGAGAGAGAGAGAGAGAGAGAGAGTGTAATATCTCGTTCCCTTACTGTTCCTCTCTGATTTGGATTTTCCTCCCAGAATCGGCCAGGACGAAGTTTGGATCGTCCAGGCCGATCAGTGCATGGAAAACAGCTGATTTCTGGTGTGTTTTCTGGAAGGATTTCTGTACAGATCGTCCAGGCCGATGTTGAGATCGTCCAGGCCGATCTATACTGTAGAAATGATCGGCCAGACAATAGCCCTGGGAACTGTCCAGGATGATCAGGATTTGGTCTGATCATC